GAGCAGCGCTGTCGGAGCCTCCGTCCCTCTCCCCTCCCCACGCGCTCCCAGGCCCTCAGGGGCGCCCCATCCAACCCTCAGACTCCCACGGGCCCTCCAGCCCCTCCTGGGTCTCACGCACCCCTTCAATAATACCCCCTGTCCCGGCCATCCTCAGATGCTCAGGGGACGTTTCTCCAACCATCTGAACCCCCAGATCCCTCCGACCCTCACCCCGCTTCTCTAGGTCACCCTGCCTAGGCCCTTAGGAACTTCCTCCTGGGCTCCTCTGAACAGCCTCACCCCCACCTTTCCTTGACCCCCGCCCCCCCAGACCTTCAGAAGACCTTTCCCCAGCCCTCGGTCACCGGAACCCCTCTAAGCTCCTTCTCACTTCCCTTGGGCACCCTCAGACCCTCAGAAGACCCTTCCCCAGCCCCCAGTTTCTTGGACCTTCTCCAGACCCTCCGAAGACATCCTCTGCTACCCCTCCAAGTGTTCCAAGCGCTGTGAAAACTGCCTCCCTTCCTTTGCCCTCTGCAGATCCCTTCCTGGCCCCCTCTACCCCTCCACCCACCCCCCAGCCTCCTCTCCAGCCCTCACTTCCTCAGGCCCTCCCAACAGCTCCCTGCTGCCTTTTCCCTTTTCCCCTGGCCCCTCTCCCTGGCCCCCTCCAAGTGAGAGTCTCCTGGCTATTTTTGAAATCTCCTGCTTCTGCCCTCAAAGTCTCAGAAGGCGCCCGCACCCCAGTTTCAGAGCCTCCTGGACCCCTCTGAACCTCCAAACAACTTGCTCTGGCTAGGACACCTCCCCCTCCCGGCAACAATCAATCTTAGGACATTTTACTCCTGGGACCTTCGGGACCCCTCTGTTCAAGTCCCTTCCTGCATCCTCCACGCCAACTCCCATCCCAAGGACTTTCCCATAAATTAGCTCAAGACTTCCCCAGAGCCTTCCCCACCCCTCAGTTTCTCCTGACCGCCCCCCCCCCAATAATATGCTGATCCCCTCCAGAATGCCTCCTCTTCACCCCCAGATCCTCCCAGCTTCTCCCTTCCATCATTTACTGCACAGCCCACTCCCTCTCTCTGGGACAACCCCTTGCCCCCCACCCTCCCAGCCCCCTCCCTCCCAAAAAGTAGATAAATCACTTTTTCTCCTGCTGCTGCAGAAATTTATCTAAGCTCAATCCTCGGACCTCCCTCAAGTTATCAGCCCCAAAACAAATAGTTCCTACTTCTTTCTTCCCTGCCGTGGCATCTTTCCTCCTGACCCCAGCCCTGCTTGCTCCCCCTTTCCCAAGTCTCCCCCCTGAGTGAGACACCCTCAGTCCAAAGCCCTCAGCTTCTCCCCCATCCCCAAGGTGAACAGAGAACGCACCCCTCCAGTCTTATCGCCCTTGAAATTCCAGATTTTACCCCCCTCCAGCTCCCTTTACTTCCCCCCAAAACTTTCATAACTTTAAACATTCCCAACTTCCTAGTAAATAGCTCCCCTTCCCCCTAGATCTCCCTTTCTCGTCCTAACTTCCTCCCCGTGTTGGAAGAGAGGAGAGCAGTTCAAAATGGGGGGAATTAAAGGGAAAGCGTAGCGACTTCAGGGACCCCTCCTAGCCTCCTGGGGACCCAGACACCCCGAGGAGCCGGTTCGGCCCCCTCCCCCCACCGTGCCGCGTCCTGAGCTGGGAAGGACACGGAGCCGCAGTGCCGCATTCACGCTGGGGAGGGAACGAGGGGGAGGGGGGCCCGGAGGCACCGCATAAAGTTTGGTCCCCAGGAAGCGCTGAGTTGGCGAGATTTGGGGTTGGGTGGGGATAGGTGCGGAGGACGAGGTACAGGAGGGACATGGCCCTAGATGCCCCCTCGGGCTTCTGAGGGCTCCTTTCCCCTCCATGGCCCGGGGTGCCCTTCCTTCTTGCTACCCCATTGAAGGGTCCTGAGGTGAGGCTAGATGTCCGGGACAGCTATGGGGGGAGAGGGGGCCACTCATTTACTCTGCAAGTATTTTTTGAGTGCCCACAGCGTGCCCCTTTCCAGGCTCCAAGTAGATAGCCTGGTAGAGGTAGGAGCTGAGACCAAGGAAAAGTGGAGTGTGTCTACCTATCCCCCTCCCCCGCCCCCAACACACACTACACTCCCTTCTTCGTCATCTCTCCTTCCCTTGCAGGGACTTCATGGCCTCCTCTGCCTTTGAACCATCTGGGGTCAGAGGGTTAAACCAGGGCCGACGCTGTGCAGCCTCTACAGCTGTGCACCGCGGGGCCCACCTTCCTTTCTGTGTCCCGGGAGGGATGGAGAGAACTGCGGAGAAACGGAGGGGGGCGGGGCGGAGGGTCTCCGCAGCCTGACCCTGGCCCCCCTCTTTTCTCCGCACCCCAGGCCCTTCCGCCCCCTCTTCCCCATCTGCTTAGAGCCTCCTCTTTGCCCGAACGCTCATCCCCTTCCCTCGCCGAGGACTAGCCTGCGTCCCCTCTACGCATCGGATGCAGCCCGCTGTCACCTGCAGGGGCCTCATCCACCCCCTTCTCCCCTCCGCAGGGCTTTCATCAGACCCCACAGCACTGTCGGGCAGGGTTCTAGTCATCCCCCGCACGGAAGGGACCGGGCTCGCCTCCACTCGCAATTCTCTGCACCTCTGAACAGCCCCTCACCTTTCTTTGGCCCTAGTCCTGCCCTTTACCCAAGGTCCAGGCCCCTGACCCTCCCTTTGGGAGCCCTAAACCCCACCTCTCCCCATTGGTACCGGTACCGCCTCCCCTTTTGCAGACTTGACACTTCACTTGCTTCCACCTTCAGGGCCCTAACACTTTCTGGTTCCACCCCTGCCCTGTCCTCTTGGGTCAGGGCCTCACCCAGCCTTCTTGCTTTTCTGGGGCATAGACATTGGCACCCAGGTCCTTAAACCCTGGCTCCTTGCCCCCCACTAACTGATGCCCCCATCCCCTCCTAAGAGCTCAGACCTGACCGAGTTCCAGACACTGGGCCAAGCACTGCTTTTGCGGCTAGGCTTTCTGTCTACTCATCTAATGTAATCCTCACAATAATCCCGGAAAAACTTGAGGTTTGGGAAGCTTAATTGCTTTGCCCATGTCAGGCAGAGGGAAAGCTGGATTCAAACCCAAGACTTTACTGTTAGCCGCCTCATGAGGCCGCCTCCCCACCCACCTTCCCCCCTTCCCCTTCCCTCAGCTCCAGGCCCACCTCCAAACCCTCTGAGATACAGGGGGTGAGTGATCTCAACCTCTCCTCGCCCACCCCGAGGCCAGAGATTGACATGGGGAGCAGGAGGGGGCGTGGTCTACACCCGTGGTCGGCAAACCGCGGCTCGGGAGCCACATGCGGCTCTTTGGCCCCTTGAGTGTGGCTCTTCCACAAAATACCGACTTCTACGCATGGGCCCCAAGTTTCAATCGCACTATACGTGCACGCCCGCACGTGGTATTTTGTGGAAGAGCCACACTCAGGGGCCCAAAGAGCCGCATGTGGCTCGCGAGCCGCGGTTTGCCCACCACTGGTCTAGGCGACAGAGCCTGAGGCCAGCAATTGCTCTTTCCAGGACAGAAGTTGCTCATGTGCTGCGGCTACTGGGGCCAGCTCCTCTCCCGAGCCGGGGGACAGCTGCCCCACCCTCTGCCTGCCCTTTTGCAGCTTTAGTGGGGGAGAGGGAAGCATTTGGGCTGGGAAAGGAGCCACCGGGAGGGTCCTATGGAGGTGGCTGGCTGACCAGATGCCCGGGTCACCTTTTGCCTTCTCTCTCCCACCTGCCCCGCAGTATGTGGCCTTCGCCTCCCTCTTCTTCATCCTCATCTCCATCACCACCTTTTGCCTGGAGACCCACGAGGGCTTCATCCACATCATCAACAAGACGGTGACGCAGGCCTCCCCGATCCCCGGGGCCCCCCCGGAGAACATCACCAACATCGAGGTGGAGACGGAGCCCTTCCTGACCTACGTGGAGGGCGTGTGCGTGATCTGGTTCACCTTCGAGTTCCTCATGCGCATCACCTTCTGCCCGGACAAGGTGGAATTTCTCAAGAGCAGCCTCAACATCATCGACTGCGTGGCCATCCTGCCCTTCTATCTCGAGGTGGGCCTGTCGGGCCTCAGCTCCAAGGCCGCCAAGGACGTGCTGGGCTTCCTGCGGGTCGTCCGCTTCGTGCGCATCCTGCGCATCTTCAAGCTCACGCGGCACTTCGTGGGGCTGCGGGTGCTGGGCCACACGCTGCGCGCCAGCACCAACGAGTTCCTGCTGCTCATCATCTTCCTGGCGCTGGGCGTGCTCATCTTCGCCACCATGATCTACTACGCGGAGCGCATTGGCGCCGACCCGGATGACATCCTGGGCTCCAACCACACCTACTTCAAGAACATCCCCATCGGCTTCTGGTGGGCCGTGGTTACCATGACAACCCTGGGCTACGGAGACATGTACCCCAAGACGTGGTCGGGGATGCTGGTCGGGGCGCTGTGTGCCCTGGCGGGGGTGCTCACCATCGCCATGCCCGTGCCCGTCATTGTCAACAACTTTGGCATGTACTACTCGCTGGCCATGGCCAAGCAGAAGCTGCCCAAGAAGAAGAATAAACATATCCCCCGGCCCCCGCTGCCCGGCTCCCCCAATTACTGCAAGCCCGACCCGCCATTGCCGCCCCTGCCTCCCCCTCACCATGGCAGTGGTGGTATCAGCCCTCCGCCTCCCATCACCCCGCCCTCCATGGGGATGACGATGGCCGGGGCCTACCCTCCGGGGCCCCACTCGCACCCCGGGCTGCTCAGGGGGGGAGCGGGTGGGCTCGGGATCATGGGGCTGCCCCCTCTGCCAGCCCCTGGGGAGCCCTGCCCGTTGGCTCAGGAGGAAGTGATTGAGATCAACCGGGCAGGTGAGGAGCGGGCATGAGGGGCTGTGGGGGCACAGGTGGAGATGCGTGGGAGGAGGTGGGGAGGTTTTGAGGGGGGCAGGAGGCGGGTGCCCAAGGTTCAGAGAGACGGGATGGTCAGCAGCAGAGAGGGGAGAGAAAAGCAAATAGCAATCGCTGGGGCCAGAGAAGTGGCACAGAGTAGACAACGACAGAGAGAGATTTCCTGTGAAAGCCAGTTTTGGGGAGGAACAGACTTGCAGCCAAATATTCAGGGGGGCCCAGGGGAGAGGGTCTCGTACGTGAACCACGGGCTGGCCAGAGAGGAGACCAAGAGACGGTTTCAGCACCTGAGCTTCCCGGAGGAGAGCCTGAGAAAATGGTCCCAACGCCACCGAGTCAGAAACTCAGAGACTGTCCCTGAGAAGGGATGGGGGCGCGGAGACGGAGCGGTGAGGGGTCGGCAGCAGGGAGTTCAGGCTGGAATAACAGCGAGATCAAGAGAGGAAGTAAAACTAAACACGAAGAGTCAGAGGGTGTCTAGGGGGGACCAGCCGGAGGGTGGAAAGGCCACGTGAGGACAGTGACTTGGGACCCAAGGCCCAGACCCGGGCTCTGCAGGGAGGGTCTGGGAGAGTCAGATGCGGCCAAGAGGAAGAGGTGAGACCAGGGCGCTAGCGGAGTGGACTGTACCTGTGCCTGTCCCTCCCCAAGGGGAGCTGCCTCCGAGGCAGCGACTGGGGTGTCAGTCTGGGAGGAGGGAGAGGCCGGGGGGCCCCACCCCCATGTCTTAAGTAGGTCAAGAAAGGGAGCTGGGCCGCCCGGCCCCCATCTTGCTCCCTCAGCCACTGACCCAGTTACACACCAATTAAAAATAGCCCGAGTCAGAGCCTGGGGACCCCCACGCCCCCCTCCCTCATCTGTCACCTCCTTAATCCTTTCCCACTGTGTCCTTTCCAGCGCCCAGCCATCTACCCCAACCCACACCCTACCCCAGTCCTGCCCGACCCAGTGCACCTGACCCAACGACCCCCCCAACACTCTGTCCCAGCCCCCTTCCCATCCCCCTCTTACCCATGTCCTCCCCTACCCATCCCTCCAAATGCCCAGCACCCAACCCCAGCCTGCCCTTCCCAGCCCTGCCAACTGGCCTGGCTAGCACTTCCTAGCACTCAGCACCCTCCTCCACTCACCTTCATCCAACCCTGTCCCCTAACCACCTCTGCCTACCCTGTTGTCCTCAAAACGCAACACCCTTCCGCCCTGGCCGGTGTGTCCAGTGGTTAGAGTGCCAGCCTGTGCTCGGGTTCGGGGTCTCGGGTTCAATTCTCAGTCAAGGGCAGGTACCTGGGTTGCAGCTTGATCCCCTGTGTGCGGGAGGCAAGCAGTTGGTATGTCTCTCTCACATCGATGTTTCTCTCTCTGTCTCTCCTGCTCCCCTTTTCCCTTCCACTCTTTCTAAAAAACAATGGAAAAATATCCTCAGGTGAGGGTTAACAAAAAGAAACACCCCAAAACTCAACATCCTTCCCCAGTGACCTGCTCCCCAAATCCACCAGCCATGCCCCTAACACCTGCTCCCAACTGAGCCCCTCCTGTCATCTCCTGGCACCCTGCCCTTGAGTCATCTTCCTGCACCCGAGTCCACCCGCACCCCGTCTCTGTTGGTCTCGCTCCGTCCTGCGTTTCCACACTCACCCCTTCCTTTGTGTCTCTGTCTGACCTTGGGACACAGATCCCCGCCCCAACGGGGACCCAGCAGCAGCTGCGCTCGCCCATGAGGACTGCCCAGCCATCGACCAGCCCGCCATGTCCCCGGAAGACAAGAGCCCCATCACCCCTGGGAGCCGGGGCCGCTACAGCCGGGACCGAGCTTGCTTCCTGCTCACGGACTACGCCCCTTCCCCTGATGGCTCCATCCGAAAAGGTGAGGTGCCCTCCACTGGCCCCCCGGGACCCTCCCTCTCTCGCCTCCCCTAGGGGAGGGGGGAGAGGGGGAGGGGGGAGGAGGTGATGGACTTCCCTTTCCCCATTCCCTGACCCCAAATCTCCTTCCCAGAAGCCCCCCATCCCTCCCGCTCCCCGAGTTTCCTCACCACTGACCCTTCACCTGTCTTTATTGCATCTCCATTTCCCCCACCCCGTCAAGACTCCCGCCCCTCACCATGAAGAGCTCCATCTAATTAACCTTCGGCCCTGACGCTGACCCCACACCCGCCCGCCCGGACTTGCCCGCCCGTCACTAACCCCCTGGAACTGACCCCAACCTTCCCACCATGTGCCTGACCTCCCAGCCCTCCCGACTGACCCATCCTCACCCCCATCAACGCCTCTCTCCCCGCCTCTCCTTCTGGGTTTTAAAAACTCCACCAAGAAAACAGGGTACACTCCCAGGATGCTCTTGGGGTGCAAGATGGGATGAGAAAGACTCAGCCCCCCAGTCAGCCACTTGTGAATTGGCCAGCTCACAAAGCACCCACAGGTCCCACCCGGGACGTCAGTGAGCAAAGGGGCCTCCCCTCCCCGGGAGCCCCATGTGGGAGAGGCAGGTGCAGGCGGAGAAAGTCGCTGTCGAGGTGACATGTGCAGGTGGCGGTGGCACAGGTCGCACGTACAGTCAGAGGGACGGGCAGAGCCCCGGGTGGGGGCCACAGGAAAGGCTTTCTGAGGGAATTGGTACTTGATGGGGACGTGGTCCCGTTAGACCTGTGGTTGTCAACCTCCTGGCCCTTTAAATACAGTTCCTCATGCTGTGACCCAACCATAACATTATTTTCGTTGCTACTTCGTAACTGTCATGTGGCTACTGTTATGAATCGTCATGTAAATATCTGATATGCAGGATGGTCTTAGGCGACCCCTGTGAAAGGGTCGTTCGACCTCCAAGGGGTTGCGACCCACAGGTTGAGAACCGCTGCGTTAGACTGTAGTGACCGGAGAGCACAGCAAAGCCAGGGACCGACCAGGGCGAGGAGGTGGCCATGAGGCAGGAAGGCAGGGCTGGCTGCGGGCCGGGACCTTGTTCGGGGACCCGGGAGAGCAGCTCAGCTCTGGGCCCTTGGGGATCGACTGGCGGTCAGGCCGGGGCAGGTTGAGAACCGCTGCATTAGACTGTAGTGACCAGAGCGATGAGCACAGCAGAGCCAGGGACCAACCGGGGCAAGGAGGTGGCCACAAGGCAGGAACGCAGGCTGGCTGCGGGCCGGGACCTTGTTCAGGGACCCGGGAGAGCAGCTCAGCTCTGGGCCCTTGGGGATCGACTGGCGGTCAGGCCGGGGAGGAGACCAGGACAAGGGTCCGCGGGGACAGGACAACTCCTGAACCCGGTCAGGGCTGTGGGGATAGAAGGGAAGGGAGGCAGAGAGAGGGAACGGGAGGAAAAGGGCTGGGGACTGGCCTGGGAGCTCAGGGGACACAGTGAAGAGAGTTGTTCGTCAGTGAATCATTCAGCAAACACAGCCAAGCACTTACCACACGCCCGGAATTTAACACACCTTCTGTAACCCTCACACCACCCTCGAGGACCCCTAGCTCCACTCACCCGCCCATTCATTCATTTCACAACTGACTCCTGAGGGCACCGTAACCTAGTATTCACAAGGCAAGAATCTGCCCTCAGAGTTGATACTCTAGAGCCCAGGTTGGCACACTCCAGCCCAGGGGCCAGCTCTGTCAGCCAGCTGTTTTGTAAATAAAACTTTATTGGAACATAGCCACTGTTCTGCTCCAAGAGTGGGCTAGAACAGTTAGGACAGAGACCGTGTGGCTCACAGAGCGGAAAATGTTTACTACCTGGCCCTTTAAGGAAAAGTCTGATGCCCCCTGATTGGGGGAAGCAGAAATTAAACCAGTAAAAAAAAAAAAGTCTCTGGTTTGTGGAAGGGCTTTTGGAGGCGACATGAAACCTAAAGGTGAAAAGGGCCCGCCAGGCAGCAGGGACAGCCAGTGCAAAGGTCCTGAGGTCCCCAGGGGGCGAGCTTGGTGCTGAAAGGAATAAATAGCCAGGAGGGAAGTGAGGCTGGAGCTGAGCAGCCGAAGGAGAGAGTGCGGACCGCCTGTGCAGAAAGAGCAGGAGGGTGTTGGCCACGGTGAGGGGCTGGCCTGGTCTTAAGAGTGAGGAGGAGCCGCCTGAAGGAATTTGACCCATCACGTCCTCGTTCCACAAACACCTGCGGATGCTTCCTTAGAAATAGGGCAGTGATGGCGAACCTTTTGAGCTCGGCGTGTCAGCATTTTGAAAAACCCTAACTTAACTCTGGTGCCGTGTCACATATAGAAATTTTTTGATATTTGCAACCATAGTAAAACAAAGATTTATTTTTTAAATATATTTTATTGATTTTTTTACAGAGAGGAAGGGAGAGGGATAGTCAGAAACATCAATGAGAGAGAAACACCGATCAGCTGCCTCCTGCACACTCCCCACTGGAGATGTGCCCGCAACCAAGGTACATGCCCTTGACCGGAATCGAACCCGGGACCTTTCAGTCCGCAGGCCGACGCTCTATTCACTGAGCCAAAACGGCTACGGCAAGATTTATATTTTTGATATTTATTTTATATATTTAAATGCCATTTAACAAAGGAAAAATCAACCAAAAAAATGAGTTTGCGTGTCACCTCTGACACGCGTGTCATAGGTTCGCCATCACTGAACTAGAGACACATCCCAAATCCCTGCTGCAGCCTAAGGAGTGGGACTTGGGGAGCCTCCAGGATGGCCTCGGCCAAGCCCCCTTGTGTCACAGAAGTTCAGGGAGGGCCATGACCGACCCAGGCCACACAGCAGAGGGAGGGCAGCCCAGGCTTCTGGGTCAGACAGAACCTCAAGGGGGCTGTCCGCTCTTGTTCCCTCCCTCCACCTCCTTGTTGCACCCGCCCCCCCATCTTCATTGTCATCTCATCACCAGCCCCTCCCCGCTCCCATCTCACCCCTCTCCCTGCTTGCACCCAGTCCCCTTCCCACTCTGTCCCCCTCCTTCAGGTCTGGATGGGCCCCTTGGAACTGAGGGGGGGGAGTTGGGGTGTGTGTTGGGAATGTGGGTGAGGGAGGGCTGGGGTGGGCTGGGGGTGGGAGGTCTCTGCTTCTCTTGCCTCTGATGCCAAAATCCATTCATTGAACTCAAATAATGGCTGGAGCTGATGGGGACTGGACCCTGGACCCCCCTTCCTCACTTTCCCCTCCCCCCCAGGGCCCGCCCT